CTTCTATTTTAAAATGTACAGGTATTGTTTATTGAAAAAAATATATAAATTGCAAATATAACCCCCCCCTCAATTTTTAAAATTTATTTATTATTGGCGACGAAAAAAAATTGACACTAAAACTTTCTAATCCCAACAAATAATTTCGCCACACATATTCACTATTTCATCACTAAATTAGAATATTTGTGAAGGGTCTTTTTTTTTCATCTTTTGGTGACGATATTTTTGTCACTAAAAATTTTATCGCTATTTTTAATGACGAAATATTTTGTCACTCAAAACAAATATAATAAAATTTTATTTAATTCTAGTGACGAAATGAACGTTATAGGTGACAAAATATTTAACATTTAGTGACGAAATATTTCGTCACCAAATACCAATAATAGGTGACAAAATAAATTTTCGTCATCAGGTACTTTTAGTGACGACGAATTGATGACGAACGTGGTGACGAAGTTATTTCGTCACGGATCAATTTGGTGACGAAAATTTCACTATTGGAGACGAAGTGATTTTGTCATTAAAGTACCATTTTGTTGTAGTGTAGTCCTTTTTACCCCATTTTTGCACACTACTTTTACCTATCTTGAAACTGTTTTTTGGCTTTGCATATAATACATAAAAGTTCTGTTTTTAAGGCCTCTAAATAGTTTGTTAAGAGTGTTTTAAGCTTTGGGGTTGTTTGACCCTTCTTAAGCCTTGTTTGGCCCTTGTTTTCTGCTATTTTGTGTGAGCTCCGGGACTTTGGTGTTTGGGCCTCCTCACCACTGAAATCTTAAGGGATTTCAATGGTAAGGATGGTGCCTTGACGTCCCAAGAAGGAGAGGGCCACCCCATCTCCTTGTTGTCCTTGAAAATGACCATTTTTGCCTCTTGAGGGAGCACTTAGCTTAGGCTCTTGTTGACCATGCCTTAGCTGTTATGTATGCTTATTTTTCCATGAAATAGCATTGTTTTAAGTTGGTTTTGGTACACCATGCTTGCTTAGCATACATGCCTTGTAATGCCATTTTGTTGCCTCAACATGCCCTAGGTCGTAAACCATTGTTCTAGCATGTTTTAGGCTTGGCTTTGTGAAGCTTTCATGTTTATTTTGCCATGATTAAGTTCTGTCCTTAGTTGTTTGGGTCGACTTTGGCATGCATTGTATAGCCCCTTTGCATTTTTGGCTTGTTGGCCTTAAGGGTGTGAGTGTATAACATGCATTACTTGCTTTGATTTAGTGGATTGGGACCATTTGCCATGTCATTTCAGTCCACTTAGTATGCTTGTATGCTTGCATTTCATGGTCCCTTTGATGTGTCAAAGGCTTGTGTTGCATGCTCCATGTTTTGGTCATTGTGCATGCTTTTGAATTCAAGTCATTTAGATGCCATCTAAGTAATCTTTTGGGCTTTGTTTTATGTGCTAAAACTCTGTTTTGGGTCATTGAATTCATGTCATGTTTGGTCTTGTTAAGTGTGATTCAATACCCCTTTAGCTTGCTTTGAATCTTGAACTTTGCTTGCAACCTTGATTGCATTGTTTGGGTTGGTTTGGCACCATGTTCTTGCATGATTTTCAAAGCTTAATTTACATGCTAATTGTCCATGTTATGCCTCTTTCAAGTGTGCTTGAGAGTTGCCCTATTTGTGCCTAAGTGTTGGTCCTTGTGTGCATGTGTGTTTGCATGCCATTTAGCCCTCATTTTATAGCACTTTGGCCACTGTTTTGGGCCTTATGAGAGCTGTCCAAATCTTGTATAAGTCCATCCTTTCATCCATTTGCATTGCCACAAGTTTGCTTGTATGCTTGCATAAGTGCCTTGCCATGCCATGTTGCATCCTTAGCTTGTATGCCTAGGTTGCATTGCATCTTGCATGCATGCCCTCACCTCTTGAAGTGAGTCACGATAGAGGTAGAAGCCCCTTGGTTTGACTATGTGCATTGCATTACATTTGAAATCAACATGCATAACTTGGTCTCTTGGGCTATCACGCATTGAAATGCACGTTTGATGGTCCGAGAACCAAGGACCATGTCCCTTTGAGTCATAAACATGATAAGGGATATGGTCGGTGCATACATTGCTTGAAATGCATTGCCATGCTGTGCCTTGCCCTCTGCTGCTGTCAATTACAGGTTCTGCAGACATTCGTGGCCGACCGGCAGTGTTCAGTGCCGACCGACCATAAATCCGTGGCCGATAGCTTCATCAACAGCCGATGATCACATCTTACTGCCGATGGCCATTCTCCTCAGCCGGTGGTGTCTCCCAATGCCCAGTGAAGCAATTATGAGACTTTGGCAGTTTTCAGAGGGGCAGAGCAGGGAAAACAGAGGTAGCCTACGCATAGCAGTGAACTTCCGAGCAAGACCCGAACACGCGTGCATTGAGCCCTCTTCCCGAGGCCCTTCTTCTTGCTTTCTTAAATTAATTAATTTGTTTAATTAATTTAGTTGGTCTGTAATAATTAATTAGCTAGGATAGTTAATTCATTATTCGAATTGTATTATTCTTTTGGTCCCTCCGAGCGAGGGCGAATTTGTAATAAGTGTGGGTGAGTGTGTGCATGTCTTCCAACCCCCACTTCTTTCTCCCTTTTACTTACCAGCTTTGATGGTTAGTAGTAGGTCATGTTTAATTTAGCATACCTTATGCTATGCATGCGTGCATCATTCATCAGTATTGCATGCACCGGGCTCGGCGCATCATGCTAACTGCATTAGTATGAATACATGCTACTTGTGCATTTTCACATGTCATTCATAGACTAGCCGAGCCTACTCTAGTGACATTCCGTATGCGTTGCATTAGACATTTAAACATGGGCTCTGATCATGCATTGATTGCTAACGAGTTCTTTGTTTTGGCACGGAGTACGGTGTAAGTATTTATGCTTTAGCATCCTTGCATGCGTGTAAGTGTTGCCATGATAGCATGATTACCATGAGGCTAGCTGCTTATGTGATATAACTGCTTGAATGCCTGTGGGTGAAGGTTGGATTGTCTGAGTTGGAATAGCTCATTGAAATCCGTGTTTTAGCCTACTTGCGAGTAGCAAATTCCAAAACATCTTTCAAAACAAACACCATCTTTCCTCCTTTCGTGTGAGACATGTTAGGTTATTGATTCACTCGGTTAAAAACATCAGGTGCGCCTGTTGTTTACACCATCTTTCCTCCTTTCGCGTGAGACGTGTTAGGATGTTGATTCCTCTTGGTTGAGGTCTTTCATCTCTTGCATGATCATAAGCAATTCAAAAATAATCGGCTTCGCATAGCGTATAAGTCCAGTTCTCAAAATCTTCCTGCATATCATTAGCATCTTGTCTCTGAACTAGAGTGGTTTGATTCCTTGCAAAGGGATACGTAGACAACCTTCGGGTTCAACCACTTACATTTGCATCTTGTTTGTTTGCCTAAGTCTTACAGCCTTGTCAAAAGGGTCGTCTTCGAGCTTTGACAATCAGTCACGCCTTGAAATGACTTTGAGCTCTATCAAAGAGGGGCAACTGTAGACACCTCATTTTGACCGGCCCTAATACTTGGGCACATTCTTTTGAACACCCTATGATAAAAATTAGAATATGCCATTTTTTTGAATTTCTCAGTAGAAAATCAGATTGAATCTTTAATCCCAAACCTCACCCATTTTGGCCAAATTATTTTATATCACTAATATTTTATTAATTTGTAGTATTTTATAATTTTATAATTTTATGTGTCTGTATATTTTTTTTAGGTGTGTTTATATAAATTGGTATAATCTAATTTTGATATTTTAGAAAATAATAAAAAAAAGGAAAATAATAATAATAAAAAAAAAAAGAAGAAGAAGATTGAATTCAATTTATATATATATATATATATATATGTTTATATACACTATACATGATAAAATATATTATGGTCAGATGGGGTTTGGGGTAAAAAGAGGATTTTCTTGCTGGATTCAATAATGATGGAATAGACATTATGATGATGTTTTTGTGGGTGGTGAAGGATATTTGTTAGAGACAGAAAGAAGGGGATTAGGCGGTGAAAAAGTGGTTTTAAAAATAAATATCTCTCTTGGAGGGCGGTGAGGGAGGATCATGCAAGATGATAAAGTTTGGATGGATAGATTTTTTATTAAAGAAAAGAAAAGGGAGAATGTTACACACATGGGTCTGCACTATAACACTCTGTCTCTCAATTGTTGTTCAAGGGGGCTCTGATTGTTTTCTTTAAAAAAGGCTGAAATGGGTTGTTAGGAGGGGGGAGCTTGATAGTGCCATAAAATCAAAAACAAGAGAATAGTTGTTTTTTTTTTCGCTTCTATCTGAGCTAGGACACACACAGAGAGAGTTGAAGGGGGGAAGAAGTAAGAAACAACAAAAAAGGTGAAAAGCTAGTCCTCTCTCTCTCTCTCTCTCGGGGTTGGGCTCGGAGAATCATCTCCATTTCTTGAATTTTTTGTGGGTTTGCTAGTCAAGACTGAGCCACCATTACAGTTTCCAGCCGTGTCTGAACACTGCTGGGCTACCCACCGCAGCTACTCCACTGCCGAGCCACCACTAGCGGCACCGCAGCTACTCCACTGCCGAGCTACCAGCAGCAGCACTGCAGCTACTCGACTGCCGAGCCACCACCAGCAGCATCGCAGCTACTCCACACTGCCATCTCACTCTCTCTCTCGGCAGACCCACAACACACAAGCTCTCTCTCTCGACAATGGATAAGCACACACATAGGTAGATAAGAGAGCATTTTTGGTGGGGGAGAAGAAGGCATTTTTCTGGGAAGCAAAAACAACTTCAACTCCCTCTCTCCCCTCTCTTTCGGACCATAGACACACACATACACAACCCAGCACTTCGGCTCTCTCTCTCTCTCTCTCACGGTTTTGAGGGAGGACCAACACAGTTTGTTTTTGTTAACAAACAGAACATATATTTCTCTCTCTCTCTCTCTCTCTGGCATGGTCGCTCTCCCTCATCAAAGAATTTGAAGCAACCTGGCCGGTCTACTCATCTTCGTCACATTCCTCCTCTCGATCCCAATCTTCTAGGCTGGAGTGTGGCTGACCCGCCATGGCGCAACCGAGTGCGAGAAGTTCTTAACAAAGCCAGTCATCACTCTAATGTCCACCACCTTCCTCACCACAGCAGCAACATCATGCATAGCTCCCTCTCTCTCATGGTTTAATTTAGGTGATTAGTTAATTAAGTTAATTAGAATTTTAATTACTTAGGTAATGAGGTCGTTAAATAGCAGTTTATAATTAATTCATTAGTTAATTAGTTAATTAGGTCGTTAATTAGCAGTTTATAATTAATGAATTTGGTAATTAGTTAATTAGATGGTGAAAATTTAGTTAATTAATTAGAGTTTTTATAATTAAATAAGTAGTGTAATTAATTAGTTAGTGAATTGGACTCTTATAATTAATTAATTAGTTTAGTTAATTAATTAGTGCATAGAATTGTATAATTAATTAATTAGTTTTGTTCATTAGAATTTTATAAGGTCATTTGAATTTTAGTGCAATTAATTGATAAGTAAGGTCATTAGTGTAATTAATTAGTTTAGTTAATTATAATTTAGTTAATTAATTAGTTTAGTGAATTAATTAAGTCAATAGAAATTTAGTATAGTTTTGTAATTAAATAGTTAATTAGTTCGGTTAATTAGAATTTAATTAATTAATCGGTGTTAATTCATTAGTATAGTTTTGTAATGAAGTAGTTTAGTTAATTAGACTTTAATTAATTAATTAGTCATTTAATTAATTAATTTCATTTTAATTTTATAAATTAATTAAGTAATTAGTTAGTTTAATTGGAACTTTAGAATTAATTAATTAGTGTAATTAAGTAGTTAGTTCCAATTTGTAATAATTAGCTAGAATAGTTAATTAAGTGTGATGTTGTAGCTAAGTTAATTGATTTGTCTTCGTAATAATTAGTTAAGTAATTTAGTTACCTAGCTAGTTCAGTCGGACCCTCCTATGCGAGGGTAAACAAACTTGTAATAATGTGTATGTCTTCCAACCCCACGTCTTTCTCCCTTTTATTTACCAGCTTATGATGGTTAGATTAGGGACATCAAGTTTAATTTAGCATACTCATGTTTGCATCCACTTGTATTGCATGCACCAAGGCTTGGCGCATCATTCTAATTCGTATTATCGTTTAAATACTTCTTTGAATTCATGCTTAGACCGCATGCGATCAACTCATTTCATATGCCATATTAGTAGCCGACCCTAGTAATTGCATATCACATGTGTTGCATTTGTCATATTGTACAGTTAGGAATCATGCATATTTTCTAACTTTGTTTTATAGCTTGTTTGCGGGACGTCGGTAAATATGTGAGTTGCTATGCTTTAGCACCCTGCTTGTACATAATTTTCTTATTATGTTTAGCGTCCTACCATGAGGCTAATTGCTTAAATGATAAATTGTTTGAATGCCTGTGGATGAAGGCTTGTTGCTTGAATTGAAATGATTCAACGAATGTATGTTTTAAGCCCCTTTTGTTAAGTGGCAAATTAAGCCCACCTGAGATGGCAAATTCAAACCCTTTTCGAGAAACAAACATGAAATTGAATTGTTCTAATTTGAGCAAACTAGTCTATGCCTTGTATGCTTCACATAATAAATTTTAGCATTTATTAAATAATCAAAATAAGAACATATACTATACATAAAAACCACATCATGATTAGTAGTGGCCGATCTTTGATCGGGTGAGTAGGGTGTTCAATTATTGACCTTCCCCTCTCATACCTAAGTTCCCGAACCAAGACACTTTGGTAACGACGGACTAATCACCTTTGACACGAGTCATGGGTTTCCTAAATTTTTCAAAATAAATATTTAGGTGGCGACTCTGATATCGGGCAAAGCAGTCCATTTTTTTGGTATTTGATTCAAACATCGATTTTCCAAAAGAAATTGCCGGATTTGGACTCTTTTTGTTTTTTCACTGTTTCACATTGCACTTGTGAAATCAAAATCAGAACCAACACACAAGTGGAGTCCGAACTGTAAGGGTTATTTCATTCTTCCGAAAGGGAGCGCGAAAAGCCGAGCTGCAATTTCTGGCGACTTTGCTAGGGAATTAGAGAACTTGACTCAAACTTCATGAGGTGAATTTTTATCTACATTTATATGTTCTTTGCATTGCATTTGCATTGGTGCGCCTAAGTCCCTATGTTTGCCATCTGTTATTCCTGGACGGTTTGCCGGAAGCTTGCCTACAAAGCTTGCCAAAAGGCTGACCGGTCATGGGCTTTGTCAAGTTGGGAACACAACCCTTGGATCTGGATTACCGCTGTACTGCTTGATCCTCTTTTTACTTTTCGGTGTTAGGTGTGAAAGGTATATTAGGTAATCTTGCTGAGGTACCCTTTGTGACTATTTGACCTAATGCATATAGTTCGCTCTAGTGACTATTCCAATACAAGACAGGATGCTCTCCCATTTTTAGGATGTATGATACCACTTGTTTGAATAGTGAACCCTAGATCATTTCAAAAAGTTAGAACATGATAACCCTACCCTTCATAGGGGTGTTTGTTCTCTTTCTTGCTATATGCAATGTATTGGATCTATACAGGGGTCCTCAAATTCCAAATAGTGGTTCAGGTATTTCAATTTGTGGGGTTGAGTTCAGTGTGTCAACATGAATTAGCAATAATCAATGATCAGTTGAGTCGAAACGCTACTAAAATTCAGATTGGGGGTTCCCATTGTTTTTTTGCAAGGTAGTTTGCAAACATGGTTTCAAAAAAAAAAAAAAAATCCCATATCCCACAAAGTGCACCGCTGTAAAAAAAAAAAAAAAAAAAAAAATCTGATATCCCACAAAGTCCACCGGTGTAAATAAATAAAACTTGTGGGATATCCGACCATTTCTGTAATTGGGGAATGATCACCTATTGATTACACGGGCTTTATTTTGAATGTTGTGGCTGGCCCACACTTTGACTAGCAAATTGAAAATGGTTTTATTCCGAGTTCTGAACTGAGTATTGAGTCTAAGTTTGATTCCACCAAGTTTGTAGAGACGGAATCAAACTCGAGTCATTCTATGAAGTCAGAGTCTATTGATTTCGATAGTGCTAACCTAGACATTTCTGTCTTGTCTGAGTTTTCTTTGTCATTTTCTTTGAGTCTGTTGTCATTGCTGAGTCATAGTCTCTTTTCAATAAACAGAAAAAAAAAAAATACCATAGAGTCTGCCTACTTCTCTGTGCCTTTAATTCATTGCATTGACCAAAAATTTCTAAACTTTTTTCAAAAACTCTGATAAAAACCAAGAGGAAGAAATTTCTCAGGATTTGCAATTTTTGATCAATTGAGAAGAAGAAAGGTGTGAAACAGAAAAAAAAAAAAATACCATAGAGTCTGCCTACTTCTCTGTGCCTTTAATTCATTGCATTGACCAAAAATTTCTAAACTTTTTTCAAAAACTCTGATAAAAACCAAGAGGAAGAAATTTCTCAGGATTTGCAATTTTTGATCAATTGAGAAGAAGAAAGGTGTGCTAAGCTCTTGATGAATAAAATCATTTTTGTTAATGTGGGTACTGAGAAGGATCCTGGCTTGGTCCAAAGTGGTTCTATCTTGTCTTCGTAAGAGTACGAGTGATTAGTCACTTTGTGAAAAGATTTCAAAAACTGTTTTTGTGTAGTCCTACGAAAACATGTCTGGAATTGATTATACAGCATCGGATCCCTCTTGACTTGAGGTCCAACCTCCTTAGCTCCTTATCTTTCAAACCATGATTCAAAATATTCAATGATCAACCAAAGTGTGAGGCTTGCATAGCCAAAATGGAGGTAGCCCTTGAACTAGGGGCAACAAGGTACCAACCTTGAGAGGCACGTTGGGCTGAAAACCCGGAAGGGCGACCTAGGCAAAAGTTAGAGCACAAAAAAATGAAAAGCTCGCAAGGTTAAAAACCCGAAAGAGCGGCCTTGGCAAAAGTTGGAGAATAAAAGGAGAGTGTCAATACTCGAGTGAACCTTAGCTAGAACTACGTAGGGCCTGTGATGCAGATTAGAAACATCCCTTGAACTAAGGGCAAGAAGGTCGGATGTGATATAGATTGGAATCAGCCCTTGAACTAGGGGCAATGCTGTGATTCAGATCAGAAACAGCCCTTGAACTAGGGGCATGAAGGTCGGACATGAGTTAGATTGGAGTCAATCCATGAACTAGGGGCAATGATGTGATTTTAGATTTGAAACAGCCCTTCAACTAGGGGCAAAAGGTTGAATGTGATCAAAGAGTTAAAATTGGATTGTTTCCCAATGAAGACCCGAAAAAAAAAAGGCAAACCCAGAATTTGAGAGAATAAGAACAATTGAGTTCCTATGCATTACACTAGGGGCAAATGCAGACCCAATTAGCCTAGTCCCTACATCATCATATGGTCAAGTGCAGCAGTCATTCATAGATGGCCTAGAGATTTATCAATCAACATGGACAAGCTAAAACGAAAATACCACCCTTGAGAGGCTCGCTAGGTTAAAAACCCAAAAAGGCGACCTAGGCAAAAGTTAGAACAGAAAAAAAAATCAAAAAAAAAAAGAAAGTTAAAAACCAAAAAAAAATGAATGGAAAAGAAAAAGTAAAAATGAAAAAAAAAATGAAAAGCTCGCAAAGTTGAAAACCCGAAAGGGCGGCTTTGGCAAAAGTTAGAGCACAAAAGGAGAGTGTCAATACCCGAGTGAACCTTGGCTAGAATTACAATGGCCTGATTCCTCTCTTTGGGATACATAGGTAGCTTCATCTCGAAGTTCGGCCCTAATAATTTTTCAACTCATTCATCTCATCCATGTTTGATTGGTGCATCTTTACTCGACTTGCTTGTCCTATCCGTGTTTGATTAGTGTATCTTCGTTCTGCTCAGTTCAGTTGGTTCAATTCAACTTGGTTCAGTTTGGTCTAGTTCGACGGTTCGGTTTGGTCCAGTTCCGCTCAGCTTCATTCGGTTCGGATTGGCTTGGTTCAGTTATCACCATTGATTATCTGGTTCAAGGCTATGCATCCCAATGGTTGATTCCATGTTGGTTGGGTAGTGGCCATTTGCAAAAATAGGTTTTGATTATTTTGAATAAAGTTGACTGATTTTCTCGAAAATTATTCCATTTTTGCAAAACCAGACCATTCTTTGGACTTAAAAAAAGGAAAATTTTCAGTGCTCACAGCTTAGCTTACATGATTTCAAAACAAAAAATGGAATAAGTATGCTAATCTAACCCTCATGTTGATCAAAACATTTTTATAAAAAAAATCAAGAGAAAAAAAAAAATCAAGGCAATGAACTAGGGGCATAGTCGAGTTAGAGATTCCGTCTTTTCCACCGCTCAAGTCAACTATTCAGTGTATATAAGTGTGTATTCATACCAGTCAAGGTATTCATACTAGTCAGTGTATATAAGTGTGTATTCATACCAGTCAGTGTATTCATACCAATCAAGGTATTCATACCAATCAGGGTATTCATACCAGTCAGTGTATATAAGTGTGTTCCTTTCATACTAGTCAGTATATTTATACCAGCCGATGTATTTATACTAGTCAGTGTATATAAGTGTGTTTGGATCGTTTTGCTTCGTTCTTCTTTCGTTAAGTCATTCTTTGATTCAAATCAGTATAGAATCAATGTTCAATTCAGAGTTCAAAATTCAATCACTCTCAAATTCAATCAAACAAAAATGTTTTCAAACTCAAAGTGATATGTCAGTCACGCCATTGATGTGCAAAAATGAAACTTATTTTATTGAAGTAAATATCTGTGTGCATTTATATGTAAATATCTGTGTATTATCCTACCTGTGTTTGCAATGAGTTCCTATGAGACCAATTGCGACGGTGGAAACTAGAGTTTGAATGGCAATGCCTAGAACGCAAAAGGTTTAGAATTTCCAAGACTAAAGTCTAGTTTAAATACCCAGGGGTGTATTCCCGGCTTGAAATCTGTATGGCAGCCCCATAGGTTGAGATAGCGTGTATGTGCCTCAATTCTGGATACTGAACCAACCTAATCTGTCACCCCGTTGGAGAATAGAGAAAGTTGTAAATATGATCAGAAAGTAAAGTGGCATCCATGGCCATTTAATAGGTTAAAAACGGCAGGTGCGCCTTGTGTTCTTTTTCGGGTCTAGGAGACCTTAAATCATCTGAAGGTGCAATTCCTTTGGTGTTTGTCGTGCTCGAACGACTTCAATGGTCTAGGAAGGGTCTAGGAGACCTTAAATCCTCTGAAGGTGCAATTTCTTTGGTGTTTGTCATGCCCGAACGACTTCAATGGTCTAGGAATGGTCTAGAAGACTTTAAATCCTCTAAAGGTGCAATTCTTTTGGTGTTTGTCGTGCCTGAACGACTTCAAGTGGTTTGGTATAGCCACCTGCCTGTGTTCGCAATGAGTTCCTAGGAAACCAACTGCGACGGTGGAAATTAGAGTTCGAATGGCGATGCCTAGAACGCAAAAGGTTTGGAATTTCCGAGACTAAAGTCTAGTTTATATACCTAGGGGTGTATCCCCGGCTTGAAATCTGTATGGCAGCCCCATAGGTTGAGGTAGCGTGTATGCGCCTCAATTCTGGATACTGAACCAACCTAGTCTGTCACCTCGTTGGAGAATAGGAAAAATTGTGAGTATGATCAGGAAGAAAAGGGGCATCTGTGACTTCTACATATAGAGATTACCCCTTGTCAGCAAGAAATCATTCTACCATACCTTCTTCCATTCGCGTGAGACGCGTTTGGATTTCGAATTTACATTTACTCCTTTCACGTGAAACGTGTTAGGATGTGACATTTACTTGGTCAAAACCTTTCACCTCTCCTCTCGCGTAAGACGTGTTTGGAAAGCATATTCCTCCTCTCACGTAAGACGCGTTTGGATCTCAAATACTCCTCTCGCGTAAGACACGTTTGGATCTCAGGTTCACATACTCCTCTCACGTAAGACGCGTTTGGATCTCAAGTTCACTATTCCTCCTCCCGCGTAAGATGCGTTTGGATCTCAAGTTCCTCCTTTCCTCCTTTCGTATGAGACACGTTAGGTTGTTGATTCACTCGGTTAAAAACATCAGGTGCGCCTGTTGTTTACACCATCTTTCCTCCTTTCGTGTGAGACATGTTAGGTTATTGATTCACTCGGTTAAAAACATCAGGTGCGCCTGTTGTTTACACCATCTTTCCTCCTTTCGCGTGAGACGTGTTAGGATGTTGATTCCTCTTGGTTGAGGTCTTTCATCTCTTGCATGATCATAAGCAATTCAAAAATAATCGGCTTCGCATAGCGTATAAGTCCAGTTCTCAAAATCTTCCTGCATATCATTAGCATCTTGTCTCTGAACTAGAGTGGTTTGATTCCTTGCAAAGGGATACGTAGACAACCTTCGGGTTCAACCACTTACATTTGCATCTTGTTTGTTTGCCTAAGTCTTACGGCCTTGTCAAAAGGGTCGTCTTCGAGCTTTGACATTCAGTCACGCCTTGAAATGACTTTGAGCTCTATCAAAGAGGGGCAACTGTAGACACCTCATTTTGACCGGCCCTAATACTTGGGCACATTCTTTTGAACACCCTATGATAAAAATTAGAATATGCCATTTTTTTGAATTTCTCAGTAGAAAATCAGATTGAATCTTTAATCCCAAACCTCACCCATTTTGGCCAAATTATTTTATATCACTAATATTTTATTAATTTGTAGTATTTTATAATTTTATAATTTTATGTGTCTGTACATTTTTTTTAGGTGTGTTTATATAAATTGGTATAATCTAATTTTGATATTTTAGAAAATAATAAAAAAAAGAAAAATAATAATAATAAAAAAGAAGAATAAGAAGATTGAATTCAATTGGGCAAATTACATATACCCCCTTGAGGTTTGGCTAAATTACAAATACCCTCCTGAGGTTTGAGAAATTACAAATTCCCCCCTGAATGCTATATTTGCATAACAAATTAGGGGGTAATTTGTTATGAAATATAAACCTCAGGGGGCAAATTGTTATTAATCTAATTTTGATATTTTAGAAAATAATAAAAAAAAGGAAAATAATAATAATAAAAAAAAAAAGAAGAAGAAGATTGAATTCAATTTATATATATATATATATATATATATGTTTATATACACTATACATGATAAAATATATTATGGTCAGATGGGGTTTGGGGTAAAAAGAGGATTTTCTTGCTGGATTCAATAATGATGGAATGGCCATTCTGATGATGTTTTTGTGGGTGGTGAAGGATATTTGTTAGAGACAGAAAGAAGGGGATTAGGTGGTGAAAAAGTGGTTTTAAAAATAAATATCTCTCTTGGAGGGCGGTGAGGGAGGATCATGCAAGATGATAAAGTTTGGATGGATAGATTTTTTATTAAAGAAAAGGAAAGGGAGAATGTTACACACATGGGTCTGCACTATAACACACTCTCTCTCAATTGTTGTTCAAGGGGGCTCTGATTGTTTTCTTTAAAAAAAGGCTGAAATGGGTTGTTAGGAGGGGGAGCTTGATAGTGCCATAAAATCAAAAACAAGAGAATAGTTGTGTTTTTTTTTCGCTTCTATCTGAGCTAGGACACACACAGAGAGAGTTGAAGGGGGGAAGAAGTAAGAAACAACAAAAAAGGTGAAAAGCTAGTCCTCTCTCTCTCTCTCTCTCTCTCTCTCGGGGTTGGGCTCGGAGAATCATCTCCATTTCTTGAATTTTTTGTGGGTTTTGCTAGTCAAGACTGAGCCACCATTACAGTTTCCAGCCGTGTCTGAACACTGCTGGGCTACCCACCACAGCTACTCCACTGCCGAGCCACCACCAGCAGCACCACAGCTACTCCACTGCCGAGCCACCACCAGCAGCACCACCAACTACTCCACTGCCGAGCCGTCACCTCTGCAACTCCACAACCGAGCCACCATCACCTACAGCCTCACTCACCTTGGCTGCTTCATGTTCTTCTTAGGCCGAACCTTAAACTAATACAACACCCCAAACCGTGACCATGCACATATGCACAACTTCTCTCTCTCACTGCAAACACCCACACCACCCATCGCACACCATGGACACACACACACACACTGCCATCTCATTCTCTCTCTCGGCAAACCCACAACACACAAGCTCTCTCTCTCGACAATGAATAAGCACACACAGGTAGATAAGAGAGCATTTTTGGTGGGGGAGAAAGAGGCATTTTTCTGGGAAGCAAAAACAACTTCAACTCCCTCTCTCCTCTCTCTCTCTGACTATAGACACACACATACACAACCCAGCACTTCGGCTCTCTCTCCCTCACGGTTTTGAAGGAGGACCAACACAGTTTGTTTTTGTTAACAAACAGAACATATATTTCTCTCTCTCTCTCTGGCATGGTCGCTCTCCCTCATCAAAGAATTTGAAGCAACCTGGCCGGTCTACTCATCTTCGTCACATTCCTCCTCACCAAAGAAGATAAAAAGATTAAAACCAAAAGGGAATAAAGAATAATAACAAATGACAAAAACTCAAAAATAGAAATCTTCATGAGGGTTTCTGACAGTAAATTAAAGTAGAACTGAAGAAGTGCAGTTCAATAACAAGTAAAGTAGATCAATTGTGGGAAAATTTAGAAACCCAATGTGCCATTCACTACAAGAAATTAAGGTTTTAAAGACAAATTTTTAGAGACAAAAATAATTTGTTTGTAAAAATTATACTTTTAAGGACAAAATAAAAGAATTTTTTAAAAAATATGTTTAATCATATTTTTACATTTTCTAGACAAATTTGTTTAGTTGAAAAAGGATCAATCACTTTTCTCTACAATTTTAGTTGGTCTCTAATAAATCCAAATCATATTCCTACAATTTTAATTGGTCCCTAATAAACCCAAATAATATATTATTGTATTTTATATATCAATTTTTGAACTCATATAGTCGGGAACAAAATGAAAAAAAAGGTTTCATCACTCTCTCCCTCTCTCTCCCTCTTTCTCTCTCTATCAAATCCCTAATTTCTTTTCATGCATCTCTTTTCTACGGATTCGATATATGAATTCACTGGTTCTTCTCAACGATCTCGTTGATTGCTTCTGATCTGTGGTTCATCATTGTCTCAAAGCATCTCTGTCCAGGGCTGGATCGCTCCGTTGCCGCCTCATGTATCCTTGATTCTCCGATTTCCCGGCGTATCTCCGGTAGCGATTCCGATCAGGTACCATATATTATCAACTTATTTGATAATCGACTATCATATTTATGAATCGCCTATCATATATATTATAATCGACTTATGAATGGGAGTTAGAAAATGAAAATGAATATGATAATCGATTATCATGTATGTATCTGTATAATCGATTTGATGTAACAGCAGCCTCTTGGATGCTTTTAACATTCTGAGATTTGAGTGGAAAGTATCTTGGGGTTTCTATTTGCAAATTTAGATTCTCTCCATTACATGGTTTGTTGGAATTGAAGTGAATGGAGATCTCTCTAGTTCAATGCGTGACATATGGATGTAAAATTTGAAGTCAATTTTTTATAATTGTTTTTTTTTATCCTGCTCGAATTTGCTTTGAAACGTCATAATCTCTGCAAATCAAGTGCCAAGAAGATACATTAATAGCTGAAAAGAACAATAAACAAAGATATATAACAGTGCATTTGTCTAAATGAATTTGCTGCTATTTAATTTTCTAAGGCTTTTGAAATTCTGTATATATTGTTTGAGAAACAAAGACAACAAAATCTTGGCATAATATTGGTATGATTAGGGACATTTGTAGGTTATATAAATTTGAGGTTTGGTAGAAAAATTTACAAAAGAAAAAAGAATAAAAGAGACAATAAACTGAGAGAACAGTTTGAAAGCCCGGGCTGAGTGAGTCTAGTTGAGCTGTTAGTAAGTTGGTTGGTAAAGTAGTCAAATTATTTAGTCTATTATGAGAAATAGAGTTTGTTAACCAATTTTCTCTATTGTAATGAAGTAGTTTTTTTTTTTCCCAATTTTCTCTGTTCTTTTATATTCTCTCTTTTGATATTTAGAGTTGTTGCTCTTTTATGTCCTGTGTAATTATACAAGAGAGAGGTTTATGCAAATTACCTATACAAAATTTGGAGAGGGCTTTGCCCTCCCTGCTCCTGGTAAATGAGCTCAGAAAGTCTTAATTTAACTATTGAATAAACCCATCACCAACCAAGAATCAGACTCCTAGAAAACCCGTTCCAACCATTTTTGATATCTTTCAAACATGAAATGCTTCAGCCTTCTAACCTTTGAAGTTATTGCTCTTCTTATGCTTCAAACTCTGTTACTGGCAGTTTTCTGGAACTTCTGCCTGCCTGCTTGTGTAGTCTTTATCATGGAGAAATTTATGGTTCCCCTAATTTATTTATTTATTTATTATTATTTTTTATTTTTACCTTTTTAGTATGCAGCTGCTAGAGTATGGACCAAGTGGGAACTAATGACTGCCCATCTTCTTCCAAATGAAGATAACATTAAGAAAGGGGAGGATGACAAATTTTCATTGGTGAGTCAATTCATTGTATAGGGTATCATAGTTTCTTGTATATTATATTATTTTGGGGGAATTTCAAATCAGTGTAAAAGTTGAAAAATAATTACAAACTAGTGGTAAATTTTATCAATATTAATAACTAAAATTATAAAATTTTCCATTTATGTAATAATTTTCTGCAATTACCACTGACAGGTAATTTCTTCTATTATTTTCATCAGCAGCCTAGTTAAATTAACATTCTTTTATTGTCCATAATTGTCTTGCTACCAGTTTCTTTATGCCTGCTTACATCCAAATTGTATCTTCTAATTCTGAACTTTTTTCCTCATTTCTTGTCCTCAAAATTTTACGAGTATAGGGACGAAGATTTTAGATTAGAGGTAAGTGAAGCTTTTATGGTGTTCACAATTCTATCTACTGTGATGAAGTTTTCCATTCAAAAAAGGAAAAAGATTGTTCACTTTCACAAACTTAATTTCTTTACACATTGTATTTTCAAAGTCATTTTATTCATCTTATGGCCTTTGCAAGTGTAAAAGTACTTGTTCACACTGAACCAAAATTTACTTAATAAATTATTCTTGCCTTGAAAAAAAATAAATAAATAAATAAAAATCAGCTGATACCAAATTCTGAATGCCCTTGGTATAAGTACTAAATACCTTTTTATTCCATCACAAATCTTTTTTGATGTTACTCTTAATGCTATCACTCGGTCATTGCCATGTGCAATTCACCCAGCAGATCCTATAAAGTTGTATGAGTAGGTTCCTTTTAAATTGTGATTACTTGAGATTGTTGAATTTTTTCTTCTTGTTGTCATATGTATAAATCTTCTGTTCCATCAGGCATTTGCAAGGATTGAAAACCATTACTTTGTGAATAAGGGTTTTTTTGCTTCGGATTCATTCCTGTTGGATAATGTTGAAAAGATAAGGCATATCAACACTGTAATTGTATAGGTATATCTATTCACATATTATATGGGCATGCTTTCTACTTACTTATGCAACAAGTAATATATTTACACATGCTTTCTAGTTTTTGCTTGCATGTTTTTGCTATGAACAGTAACATATCAGGTGTCTGTCCTCACACAATATCAAATTGCATGTCATATTTGCTACTGTCAAATTGTCATTGCAGCATTAAGTGTCTCCCCTTAAAGATTCTCTCTATTTAAGTTCACTGTCTGATTTTGAGAGATATGATATGTGCTGCCCTATGATGTCAGCATGGGATCTTCATAAAGCTTGGCCAGAGGCAAAATTGAAGGTAAGAGCATTGTTTTTTGTCTCCTTTGTTGCTTAGTTTATGCATCTGACACTATAAGGCTCTCCGTGCCCATTGTTTTTTGTCACCTTTGTTGCTTGTTATCGTTATTATTGTCTCTTGCAAAGCCATCTCATGTCATATGTTACATTACATATTGCATTTTGTGTTTTGTGGGTTTCCATCTCTCTGATTTATATGCTGTCGATGTATATCCTTTGCTTGGTGATGCTTTCCAGCTATACAAAAAAGGGTGTCTCCAGAGTCCTGCTTCCTTATGTCTAATGCATGCATCCACTTCATTTGTATGCATATGGGGTGGTCACGAGTTACACTAGGTGGGTGTATCATGGGGAAGGTTTTGAGTTGAATGATAATGATGACTCACAAAATGAAAATGACGAATATCTTGACAATGTGACAGAGAAGTCAAATAGCCCCAATACCGAGGTGCGAGAAGTTATTCATGACATACGAAGTTATTCAATCTTTATGTACTTTCATTCATATATTTTTTAGAGGTCTCTTGCATTACTCTTTAGAACAATATTCTCCTTTTTGTCTATATATATATTTGCATAATTACACTTTTCATAGGAGTTATTCCTTTTACTTACTGTTCTACAAGGAATTGTTTTCACTGGAGTAATGTTTGTAATTGAACTTCGGATACTACAATCGGCACATTAAATTGTAATTTATTAACTTAATCTATTATTGGATAATTTTTAATTGGTAATCTATTTGAGAGTTTGGCCTATTTTATGCAGGTCCTGCAAGCTTGCGTCGATTTAAAGCTTGGGAGCTCTCTGCTAGATTTTGAATGCCATTTTAACGAAACCATTGAGAAGAAGATGCAATGAGTTAAGTTGAGTTGAGTTGTTTTGTTATGTAGGTAGATATAATTCTAATAACAATCTGTTCATTGAATAGTTGAATGCTATAAACAATGCTTATAACACTAGCCTTATAAATTGGAAATGATACTTTTGAAATCTCTGTCATATATACAATCAAGATATTACGTACTAATGAATTAGAGCATGGTATTTGTTTGTTATTGAATGCGATGAGCATTTTTTTTTTTTTTTTTTTTTTTTTGTGTAGTTGAATTTTAATTTGGAGATGAGTGGATGGTTTGGTGATATATATTTTCTGTTTGGTTGTTGAGAAATCAAGAAAGGAATATAAGTTGATGTTCAAATTAGTATTTTTAGAATAATTGTTACAAAATCAAAAAAAAAAAAAAACAATTATCAAACTTTTAGAGACCAATTTTAGTTGTCTCAAAAAATATTTAATAAGCTTTTACCCACTACTTTTATTTGTCCCAAAAATTAGAACTTTTAACCACCATTTCCCTTTGTCCTAAAAAACTAAAACTTTTATGGACCACTACCATTTGTTCCAAAAAATTAAAACTTTTAGACACCAATTTGTGTTGTCGCAAAAATTAGTTTATTTGTCTCCATAACTACCACTGTTGCCTTGGACTCTAAATAGACTTTTAGAGACAAATTTTGGTTGTCTCAAAATCAAAACTTTTTGCAACCACCTATTTTTGTCTCTAAAAGTCTATTTATAGTGACAAATGCAAAATTTTGTCTCTAAAAGTCATTTTTTGACTTTTCCGGACGGGCCATTTGGGACAAACTTCGCGACGGAAGAAATTGGTTGGCTAAAGTTTTTCCCAACAAATATTACACTTTTAGGGACAAAATAAATTTGTCCCTAAAAAGCTGATTTCTTGTAGTGCACCTTCCTCACCACAGCAGCAACATCATGCATAGCTCCCTCTCTCTCATGGTTTAATTTAGGTGATTAGTTAATTAGTTAATTAAGTTAATTAGAATTTTAATTACTTAGGAGGTCGTTAAATAGCAGTTTATAATTAATTCATTAGTTAATTAGTTAATTAGGTCGTTAATTAGCAGTTTATAATTAATGAATTTGGTAATTAGTTAATTAGACGGTGAAAATTTAGTTAATTAATTAGAGTTCTTATGATTAAATAAGTAGTGTAATTAATTAGTTAGTGAATTGGACTCTTATAATTAATTAATTAGTGCATAGAATTGTACAATTAATTAATTACATTAGAATTTTAGTGCAATTAATTGATAAGTAAGGTCATTAGTGTAATTAATTAACTAGTGTAATTAATTAGTTTAGTTAATTAGAATTTAGTTAATTAATTAGTTTAGTGAATTAATTAAGTCAATAGAAATTTAGTATAGTTTTGTAATTAAATAGCTAATTATTTCGGTTAATTAGAATTTAATTAATTAATCGGTGTTAATTCATTAGTATAGTTTTGTAATGAAGTAGTTTAGTTAATTAGACTTTAATTAATTAATTAGTCATTTAATTAATTAATTTCATTTTAATTTTATAAATTAATTAAGTAATTAGTTAGTTTAATTGGAACTTTAGAATTAATTAATTAGTGTAATTAAGTAGTTAGTTCCAATTTGTAATAATTAGGTAGAATAGTTAATTAAGTGTGATGTTGTAGCTAAGTTAATTGATTTGTCTTTGTAATAATTAGTTAAGTAATTTAGTTAGCTAGCTAGTTCATTCGGACCTTCCTGCGCGAGGGCAAACAAACTTGTAATAATGTGTATGTCTTCCAACCCCACGTCTTTCTCCCTTTTATTTACCAGCTTATGATGGTTAGATTAGGGACATCATGTTTAATTTAGCATACTCATGTTTGCATCCACTTGTATTGCATGCACCAAGGCTCGGCTCATTATTCTAATTCGTATTGTCGTTTAAATACTTCTTTGAATACATGCTTAGACCGCATGCGATCAAATCATTTCATATGCCATATTAGTAACCGAGCCTAGCAATTGCATATTACGTGTTGCATTTGTCATATTGTACAGTTAGGAATCATGTATACTTTCTAACTTTGTTTTGTAGCTGGTTTGTAGGACGTCGGTAAATATGTGAGTTGTTATGCTTTAGCATCCCGCTTGTACATAATTTTCTTGTTATGTTTAACATCCTACCATGAGGCTAATTGCTTAAATGATAAATTGTTTGAATGCTTGTTGATGAAGGCTTGTTTCTTGAATTGGAATGATTCAACGAATGTATGTTTTAAGCTCACTTTCTTAAGTGGCAAATTAAGCCCACCTGAGGTGACAAATTCAAACCCTTTTCGAGAAACAAACATGAAATTGAATTATTCTAATTTGAGCAAACTAGTCTATACCTTTTATGCTTCACATAATAAATTTTTGGATTTATTAAATAATCAGAATAAGAACATATACTGTACATAAAAACCACATCACGATTAGTAGAGGCCGATCTTTGATCGAGTGAGTGAGGTGTTCAATTATTGACTTCCCATCTCATACCTAAGTTCCCGAACCAAGACACTTTGGTAACGACGGACTAATGGCCTTTGGCACGAGTCATGGGTTTCCTAAATTTTCCAAAATAAATATTTAGGTGGCGACTCTGATATCTGGCAAAGCAGTCCATTTTTTTGGCATTTGATTCAAACATCGATTTTTCAAAAGAAATTGCCGGATTTGGACTCTTTTTGTGTTTTCACTGTTTCACATTGCACTTGTGAAATCAGAATCAGAACCAACACACAAGTGGAGTCCGAACTGTAAGGGTTATTTCATTCTTCCGAAAGGGAGCGTGAAAAGCCGAGCTACACCAACACATTCTTATTTACATGCCATCAACACAACAAGTGTTTGGAACTAGAAAATACCACATCAATGGCATTTATCAATGCAAGCTCTCTATCTGTGACAATAACCTTAGGAAAAATATTCTCATCCATAAGACCACATAATATATTCAAAGCCCATACATAGTTATCGGTACGCTCGAATTGTAAATATGTTGAAGCTATTAAAAATGTCATATCTGTGGAAGTCACACCTACAATCTCAAGCAAGGAAAGACCACACCAGTTGGTCTTATACTTACGGTCCATAATCAAGACACGTGGAAATGCACAAAACAAATCCAAACTTAATGGATGAGCCCAAAGAAGGTCAGTGACAACTGTGGTATTTTGTTCACATCTATGCCATTCAATGTATTCATGCTTTGCTAATTTTCCCAACAGTTGTTGCATCTATGATCTTTTGGCTTTCTCTGTCACTTTAAATTTGTGACGCACGTTATAAATAGTCTTCATTGTCGTTATATTCAACGGATTCCTCTATTTCAACGTAACTAAAATATCTTTTGGTCTCACCATACTCTTAGACATATCCACCAACAATTCATTTTCTTGGTGCGATAATCTCCCCAAATATGAATGCCCCTCAAGATGATCCCCAGCTGGATGATTATGCACTCCACATACTATATGCAACATCCAATCATTGTTAGTGCTTAACTTCTCACCCTTTAGCAAGAATGGACAATCACACTTTTTGGTCCCGGTCATCCTAACATTCTTATCATGTGAACAAACTTTCACCTTCTTTTCCTATCTATACTTTCCACTCCTCTCACACGCTAGTTTAATTCTTGGTGTCCAACAACCGCCACCAGAATCTGAATATTTCACAATTATAACAAAACCATTTTTCTTGCCAACATCGCGTGCCCAATCAATCATTGCTTCTTTTGTTTTAAATATCTACATTAAACGTATTAGCTTATAGTTAGTACAAATATAAATATAAAGATTAATAAAAGAAGTAATTGGCAATAGTAATCCTACATCGTATGTGGTAAATTCACTAGTGTAGTTTAACATGTATTCACCATGCTCCACGTTCTCCAAAATGGAATTCTATATGAAATCAACAAAGGAACAAAGTTATATTGTTTGGACATGCAAGGTCAAACAAAGGAAAAAAAAGTCATTTTTTACTCATATTGTTCAGACATACAAAGATGAATAAAGTCACAATGTTCGGATATACAAAGCTGAATATTGTCATGTTGTTCGGCAGTGTACAACCAAACAAATTGAATTTGTTTAGACTTTCAAAACCGGATAATAATGACCGAAAATAAGTTGAATATTTACTTTTATGTATAAAAAATAAAAATAAAAAAAAATTGATAAAATGAAACAAAATATAAAAGTAATTAATTACAAACTAATATATAAATTTGAATGCAACGAAAATTGATAGATACACTTAATCTCAATGGAAATTGCGAGAAACTAGATGTACATTTTTTTAACCTTAACCATGGAAATCCAAAAGGGTGGGAAAGATGTCACAACATATAGGTCTTAGAATAAGGAAAAAAATAATAATAATAACAGGACCAAAAAAAAATAATTAAAATTAAAATTAAAAATTGTTTTAAGGTGCCGCAACATATAGAATCTCCTATTCCATAATTAACATAAATAGCAACCTAGGCTGTTTGGTTTTTGTATTGAAATTAATGCTTCTGTTGCAACTTGGAGAAGCTATAATGCTATTTATATGATTGTGAAAATTGAAAGATTTAACATTATAACGGGACATGTGAAAAAATATATAAATTAATAATTATATTTTGATTTTTATATGAATGCTTACCTCCTCTTTGATAGGTTGCTTCAAAATATTATCTTGAGTATCACTTTCCTCCATTGTTTGATTGTTCAAACTTTCTTCTAGGGTTTAGGGTTTCAAAATAATAAAAAACATTGATATTAATGATAATGGTGAGTTTTGGTAAGGTGGATTGGAGTTTTGGAGTAAGAAGAAGAAGAAGAAGAAGAAGAAGACAAACTAACTTTGATCTCTTGGGGAAGAAGATGCAGAGATTTGAATAGAAATAATAGATTAGGGTGTACCATGAGGAGGAAAAAAAAATTTATTTTAGGGTTTAATATGGATTGTCCTTATTAGTAAATTCGCATTAAGATATAATAGAAATTAAAATTTATAAATTTGAATTGGGCGTACTAAGATATTTTTTGGGCTCAAATAGAATGCCCCCGACATGATACACATCCCTAATTGGGGCCCCTAAATTTTGTTCAAAATGGAGAGCCCAAGGTGGTGTCTTGATCGCCTCACCTCAGGGCTGGCTCTGTTTTTAATCCTCCAATCCAATCGAGTCGAGCATGACTAAAAAGGATAATTCTATATATAAACAAAAATTAATGATATTATGATTTCTTTCATGCTTTTCTTTTTAAAAAAAAAAAAATCTTAAAACCTCCAATATTATGGTTTATAATTTTGTTTATAAATCATTTTCAAAAATTATTTTGAATCTTTTAAAATCATTTTACCTCACATGATATGAGGCAGGAGTATTTTGCCCCTTTATAATTTACTGGGAGATTTACGTGTATTTCCTAATATGTGAACATATTGTCCAAAAGGTCCAGTGAGAATGAATGACGTTTTTGTTGGTGGGAGTGGGATGCAAACCACTGTTGATAATTCACAAGAAGAGGCTTAAAAATTGAACCAAACTGAAATTCAATTCACTGAAAAAATAAATTCTGAAACAAATACAGTGCACTCGCCTTCTTCTTTTCTCTCACACACTTAATGTTCTTGATATACTAGCTATTTATAGATAAACTAGACAATGTAAAAGCATACAATAATACAGTGTGAAAGCCTACAATTTATGTAGCCATTTTTTACCTCCTACCAAACTTTCTTTCAAAAATAGTGGCTGTCAAACATGGTGGGTGGCTGCCTACCATCAAGCTTACTTTCAACATCCCCCCTTAAGCTTGATTCTCCATGTTGCTTCATTCCAAGCATTATCTTCATTTTGTTAAATAGATCATTTTTCGATGGCTTTGTGAAAATATATGCAAGCTGATCTTGAGATTTGCAAGGAAATAATTCCATCTCTTTATTTTTCACATGCTCTCGGATGAAATGATAACGGGTGTGAATATGCTTACTTCTTTCATGATAAACTGGGTTCTTTGCCAATGCAATTGCTGAGCGATTATCAACATAGATCTCTGTGGATTTTTCTTGTGGAAATTCCAAATGCTTCAGCATGTTCTGTAACCATATTGCATGGCACACAGTTGAGTTGGCTGCAACATACTCCGCTTCGCAAGTCGATAATGTCACAATGGCTTGCTTCTTGGATAACC